AACCACTTTGTTATCCAGGGGCTTGTGGTCGAAACCGGCTGCTTTTGTGCACTCCGGATATTTTCGTACGCTACAGCAATTAACAAACTCGTTTCTCATTAGTAACAGAGGAAATTGTGGAATATTTCTCCGAGTATGGGCAACCTGTCGGAACTTGTTGAAAATATCTCCTTATCTAAATCTGCGGCGAAACCTTTTCATTATAACGAGATCCCTCACCGTTTTGACTGTCTGTAAACATTTGTGGTGGCATTTTCTCGATATTATGTTGTTCAGTAACATGGTCTAGAACTGCTCCTTTCATATAATACTCATGAGAATAGGTAATCGTGTAGTAACCTAAAAAGCGTTTACTTTATTGAGTTAAAATATCCTCGTTAAGTAACGTGGAAAAATTTTGAATAACAAACCTGTGAAAGTGTTTCTTTGCGGACAGCTTCTTTCTCCTCACTCTTACTGGGCTAAAGTATCTGTCATACTTCCTACATAGTCAGAAATATTCGTTATAAGCTTGAAATCGCAATCATGCTATACCATCTATACGAAAATCTTGCGATATTTTGACCATTTCACGCTAGGCCACTATTCGAAAATTGTTAAAACGTAAGGAGGACCTCTGAGATGAGCCATTTATCAAACAAAAGACAGCCACAGGAGCCGCTTATCCGGGATTCGAACCTGATCCCTTCTTCACCAAAGGGCAATGCCATTGTCACTACACTACGAAAAAACGGTCTGTGGGCGAGCAGAAAAGTATTAAAATCAGGAGACAATAGTTGAGTGCCCGTTCAATATCACTAACAGTGTCTTGGAAAAATCAGTATGGTATTAGTCCCCAGGACGATTTAAAATAATGGGCTCCAGGAACTGCTGCAAAAATGTACGACTGTCATGTTGGTAACAGACCTTGGAAACTATACATGTGGAGCAAATTCAGTCGCAGAAAGTCGGTGCATGGGTTTTAAGGAAAACAGTAAACTATTTATGGTACTAGGCAACAACTTAAACCGACTAACTTATATCATCGCGGTCTTTTTGGAACACAGTAAAACCAAACCGCTTAAAGCGAATGGATTCTCCAACAGGCAACCCAGAGATATTATGTTAAGGGGGATACTGAAACCAAGAGCCCAAAGGCAACGAATGGTACAGCCCTGGAACTTAATTCGGCAAAACTGGCTTGTAGGGCCCCTTAAATATCTTTCCCTGCCCAACTGTCTAACACATTTGTAGTCAAACATTTAATCACTGTTAGTGAGTGTAAATGACTATTTAGTTGTGTTGGAAGTGATCAAAATATATCAAAGTAAAGAATATATTTGGTGCAATGTACTACAGATTATCAAATCCCTTAACATAAACTCCTCTTGCTCAGGATGCTGATACCAATTGAGGGAAATTCAACCTTTTATTCGCGGAATTTGACGAAAAAAGTGATATTCGGGTTACTGAAAACGTAAAAGTAGTTATTTTTATAAATAAAAAGCAAAAAGACCTCCAAATACAGTCCTGACCTTACTGCAAAGTGAGATGCTTACCGCTGACGCCATTTCTGATTGTAAAAAAGGCGTAATGGAATATTATTTGACAAAAGAAGCCCCTAACAAAATGACTACTTACAACCTTGGGAAATTCCTTCCGGTTATTTTCTCCTCTCACTCTGTTATGCATTGAACAAAAGCAGCTCGTTTTACATAGTGTTCCATTTGAACTGAAATAGATTTTAAATGTCTATAAGTTTGTACGGACTGTAAATATACAAAAAATTAGTTTACATTAATAGGGACTTCGATGGCATTGACTTTAATCCTCTAAATGTACATGCCATTTCGACGGTCAGTTTCGACGAGTTTCACCGTATGCTAAATCACACGCTAGTGCGGGGACCGTGACTTCCGCCGGATTATATCGAACATATACATGTGATTCATCTACTGCACTCTCTGTTCCACTTCCTCACGTGTATCAGTATCAGGACAGAATAAAAAAACGGAGATTGAGGAGGGCTCAAGTGGCTGTCGCGATGTTAGACCAAACCTATGCGCGCCACCACACACCCACGTGTACGGCATCAGTGATGGAATCGCAACCCGCATAACGTCTACGGTACCATGATTTGGTCCCCGTTCTGGTCCAGCCCATCTATCACGCGACACGTTTATGGAGCACATATACATACGTACAATAGATTGACCGCCATTATCGACTACGTTTACCGTATACGTCACCATTGCGTATTGATTGGACGGTGATTTCCATTGGACTAGACTTGAGTGGCATATATCTCACTTTGTTCCCACTCCTCACCTGACCCCGGTGACAAGGCGAAATCAAGAAGATCGGTGATGGGAGAGGGCGTAGGC